TGGGAGGGACCACCTTCCCATCCTTGTGGGGGGGACCACCTTCCCATCCTTGTGGGAGGGACCACCTTCCCATCCTTGTGGGGGGGGGACCACCTTCCCATCCTTGTGGGAGGGACCACCTTCCCATCCTTGTGGGGGGGGACCACCTTCTCATCCTTGTGGGGGGGACCACCTTCCCATCCTTGTGGGGGGGCACTTGTTACTTCCATTGTGGTACAGGCCATAGACAGCCCAGCCCTGAGTCCTGTGTGCCCAAATCCCATACCTGTTTGTTTCTATTCTGGATTTCCAGACACCCCCTACAACCTTCAAACTCAGCATCCCAAGCAATAGCCTCGCCTAGTAGAACTTCCCAGAAAGACTGTATGTAGATGCGCTACTTTTCTGTCCCAGGATGAGTGTTACAAGCTACCTGTGACTCTTACACTTGACATGTGGCTAGAGTCTCTGAATAACTGAATTTCTAATTTTAAACCTCGTCCTGCCTTGCAAACTGCCATACTAGACAGCACACAGCATACGGGAAGACATCACCTGTGGGAAGTTTCAGGGTTCCACTCCCCCAACTTCTGCAAGAGCACTTGGACCTAAGTTATGTTACCCTGTGAAGATGAGGATATGATTATGAGAGACGATTACAGGAAAGGAAAACAGCGACTTCCCATCCTGAAATTCTTCGGCCTTCGGTGCACCGAGACAAGACACAGGCTCCACCTGGAACTCTAGTTCACTCATGTCCTGTTTCCCCAAAGCTTTAAAAATCCCTGACGCAAGACGCCTAAACAGTTGGGCAGCTGGGAAAGTGGCCGCTCTATGAGGACAGGATGAGGGGGAGAAGGACAGGGAACTTCTCAAGGCAGAAACTACATGGTTTATGCAGGGGCAGCCGGGGCTTACGAAAGGGGGTATCTCAATGCTGACTGGGAAAACGTAAGCCAGCCCCAGCGAGCATCTCCCCGTTCCCATCTGCCCTGTTGCGGCTCAACAGAAGTCCCAGTTTTGAGACCCCAGTGCTAGGGTTAAGAATGTGGGCTCTGGGGCCAGAAGTCATCTGGATTGAAAGTGTCAGCTCTGTCAGGAACAAGTAAGTGTAATATGGGCCTCGGGGCCTCCTCTGTAAAACTGAGGTTTCGAGGAGAGGCTTGACAGTAGGCACAGGGAAATGACCTGCTATCCTGTCCGTCTCGGTGTCTTCATCCTGGGCCAGCTGCTAACACCCAGCGGACTACAGATTGGCTAAGGGGAGGCAGGTCTTCCTGAGAATGCAAGTCAGGTGTGGGAGACTAAGATGGTACCCCACCCATCCAAGCAGTGATGCCCAGTGGGGAGTCTGGGAAGGCAGCTTGGTCATGGGGTCATCTACAGATACCAGACTCACTGCAGGCTCATCACATCCCACATCCTGTGGTATCGATGCAGAGAATCCCAATTTCAGTCAGACAGAAAAGCTGATCCAAAAGGCTACATCATCTAATTCCGGGGAATCATCAAACAGACGATAATGTAGCATCCTATTTGGGTTATTTCTCAACATCATCTCTGTATCTTAAACTACGTACACGTTCAGATATATTAATGTAATACATCAGCTATTCCAAAATTTTAATGACTTAAATTTCCTAAACAATGACTAAAAAAAAATCATAAATGCAAATATTTCCTGTCGCATGGACACCCCCTATAATTCAGCCCTAAGTATTATTGACAAACTATATAACTAACTCACAAAGCATTTTTTTGTGCTTGTAAAATGTGTTTTTAAATTAACATTTGAATGTTATGATTTTAAGCATGGCCACCTACGCTGTTTCTCACCCACACATTTGGTGTCCAACAGTCTGACCTGCTTGTAACAGAAAGCCTTTGTGAGGTATCTGCTGTTACCAAGGGCACAATACAGGTCCTGTGTGTGCAAGCGCACACCCATGAGGGTGTGAAACATGAAGGACACAGCCATTGGTTGAGTGGTCGTCACACTGTTTAAGACCTTCTGAGAGAGGAGGAGGAAGGGGAAAGGGAACAGGGATGGAGGACGGTCAGAAGGGAAGAAGTGAACACTGCTTTGTGGGGATTAGAACTGTGATTGGTGTTGTGATAACCACTGAATCAGAGGCCAAGGATACAAGCCCACCAGAAGTTTCACCAGAAATGCTTTAATTGTTTAGCTTCTCACAGTTATCACATCACAGCCTGACAGATCCATGATTCTTCTAAAAATAAGCACAGAAAACAGCATCCCAAAAGACAGCCCATGTTTTATTGCGGTCACACTGGCTTGCACTGTCTCCTCACAGTGCAGTGTCCAGCGGCTCAGGAAGGCTGGGCTGTCGGGGGATCAGTGGGCGCTCCCGTGTCCGTCACACACACACAGCCTATCCTAGACAAACTGCTCAGCGAGGGTGACCGTGGCTAGGCATGAGCGCTGGCACATCATCATGTTACCGTATGCCACCAATAAATAAAGTTACAGAAAATGAAATCCAGATTAAGCTGCGGCCGAATCATGTTAGAACTCTTGTCTATACCTGCGAAAGAGTTGGTTGCCAAGAGGACAGAAGCACATCATACTACAGTGTTGTATATATTTATACATATATTTTTTTTAGATTCTAAAATTTTATTTTATGCATGAGTGTCTTGCCTGCCTGCGTGTATATGCAACACATGCTTGCCTGGTGCCTGCAGAGCCAGAGGGTAGCAGATCCCCTGGAACCGGAGTTATGGATGGTTGTAAGCTGTCATGCCATGTGGGTGCTGGGGGCTGAACCCAGGTCTCTGTGAGGCAGCAAGTGCTCTTAACCACTGAGCTACCTCTCCAGAGCACATTCTTTGACTTTTTAAAATCGAGCTCTGTGTAAAAGCACAGACTGAACTGAGTGGAGCTTTAAGGAAAGGAAAAAGTGTTGTAGGATAGTATTTCAAGGTGTGGTACTTTTGTTTATGCTCCGGAACGTTTTGTCTAAGGATGCAAAGATGTGTTTGATTAAATAAAACTCACCTGCGGTCAGGAGGCTTCGTCAGCAGCCAGCTGACAGGAAGTGGTGGGGAGGAGCCGGGTGAGAAAGGGTTTATGAGGAGGGGCGAGGGCTCTTTGGGGGGACGAGAACAAGGAGAGGAGGGGAGCTACTTGCTATTCAACCTCTGAAGAGCAGGATTCCATCTTAACCTTTGAATCTTGACTTCTTCAGAGGGGGAGAGGTTTAGTTATTCGAGAGTTGGAGCCGGAGGGAACAGATTTCCCTTGCGGCCTTGCAGTTGCTGATTCAGACAGCTGTGGCTCAAAAGGCAGCAACCGTTCCAAAAAAATGAAAGACAACAAAAAAGACTCCTAATATTAAATATGTCTGTCAAAAAGCAGACCTAGAAACACGGACAGGCTGCTTCAGAAAGATCATGAGAAATCTAGAAAGTTCCAGGAAGTTGACACTGATCTCAGGAAATGACAGCGACAACCTGTGTCCCCTCGCTGTGCCTCTCTTTATGAGGGAGGGTTGCTCGTGGTGTTATCATTACAAACAAAGACAACAGAAAGCAACTCTGCATCTGATTCTCAGAGAATCACGGCAGCAGCTTCTTCACAGAATGCTCACCATACTCAACCCTTGGACCGCGTTTCTGCTCCTGCCCTTGGGGTGAGGCACAGGTAGTGGTTCATTTCGTGCTGGAGTTGATCACGGACCAAGAAACAAACATTTGCTCTTTATAAAAAGAGCATCACAAACCTATTTTGTGAGAAATCATGGCAAACATATAAAAGCAGTTTAAAAAAATAAATCTCAATTTCAATATATAAAAAATACAAAAAGTAATGATAATCTGTCTGCATATAAAACCTTGTGAAAAAAATTAAATATAAGAAATGTTTCTTTTTCTTCAGTGATTAAATCGCTAATAGGCTGTTATTAAAAAACAAACAAACCAACAAAAAACAGAGGCACCAACATGGTGAGACCGAGGCTGTGGGGAGATAGCCCAGACCCTGCATCTGAAGAAGTGTCCTCTACCTGAGTCCCAGGATGCGCCAGGCTGGGACGCTGCCCGGGTTGCTAAGGGGACACTTCCCTCAGACCCAAATCACACCATCAGGAGCATTTTCCAATGTGGTCTAAAGATCATCGATCTCACGAGAAATGGTTAGAATCCTTGTACACGATGTCTGCCTTTCAGAAGACTCACATCTTCACACCACCGAAGATGGAGGAATCTGCAGGACGAGTGACTCTGAGTCAGTCACGACTGGCGTGAGCATCCTTCACCAGCCCTGACTCGTATCACGTGGACTGCACTTTAGAAAACACTGAATTAATTAAGAAAAGGAGGGAGAACAATGTAGCCTTCTGACCCAGCCTCAGGGCATCAAGAGAGAAGTTGGTGCCGGGTGCTGGGACAGTATCTGACCTTGCTTCTGGTCCTCAAGAACAGTTCCCACGGTTCTAAGGAAGGTCTTCTTCACTCAGGGCAGGTGGCAGTGATTCCTAGAGTCCCTGTGCCACTTACAGCACAGTAAGTGAGGGGCCGAGAGTCAGTTCTCAAGGTGTGCTTTTCCTTACTCGGTGGCTTTTCTCGGCAGCGCACGCTTTTTCCACGGTCCATAAATGCTTCTGCCCACGGTAACAGGATCTTCGCCTTTTACCCGCTCTCTTGTTCAGAATGAAGTCAACTTGCAGGGAGACTGTCCGTAGGAAGGCTAAAGAGCTGCTCTTCCAAGAAGGCGCCCCCAAGGCCGTACTGCTTTTCGTGTGTGCTGACTTCTTCCGGTGACAAGTGGCTCGCCCCGAGAACAAAGTCTGCAAATCTAAGCAATTTTAAACAGTTAGTGTCGTCCCAGAGGTTTATCTGCAAGACGGTGTGTGCCTCGCTGCTTATCCCTTTTAACTAAATCCGACGGTGTCAGCCGAGGAAGGCATTTGCACCCAGTACAGAGCTGGCTGATGGGAGTCTTCTGCAGACGGCTGTGCCGGGGGAGGTGGAAGTGTGTGCAGGTTTACGAAGCCCCACCACGGCCAGGTGCATCCAAGCCATTCACTCATCTGCTCCCTGCTCCCTGTGAGTGCAGAGTACTGGCCATAGCTCAGGGTCGATGCCTCGCATCAGGCCCATATTTTCTCAGACCTTAGCAGCGCCCCAGCAACTTTGGTATAAGGTGTAACCAAGAGAAATGGTTGCTTCTAAGCAGAAATGTGTGCTCAAAAACACTGTGTAATTTTCCAGTCGCCCAGAACCTGAGGTGTGGCCCGCCGCAGGACTTACTTTTTAGGAGCCTGGAGTCTGGAGACAGCCAGCCAGGAAGGGAAGTCGGGCCTGCAGCAGGCGCGGCGCAGCTCCTCGAGAGCGCTGGTTGTTTCTGCCTCGGCTTGCTCCCTGTACTCGTCGTCCGTGAGGTACCTCGCCATCAGCGGTTCCGCTGTGAACCACTGCCTCACTTGCCTAAAACACATGACATCTGGTTGCCAGATTCCTGCCCAATCAATCCTTATGACATAAAAAATACGCATCTTAGACATCAATAGTAATACACCTGAGCTCCTTGTACAGCACCCTGTGCTTTCCACAGTCCTGTGACTGGGGGGTAAGGAACGGGCAGCGTGGGCCTACTGTGTTTTCCACAGTCCTGTGACTGGGGGGTAAGGAACGGGCAGCGTGGGTCTGCTGTGCTTTCCAGTCCTGTGACTGGGGGGTAAGGAACGGGCAGCGTGGGCCTACTGTGTTTTCCAGTCCTGTGACTGGGGGGTAAGGAACGGGCAGCGTGGGTCTGCTGTGCCTCCCTGCTTCTCTGACCACCATAGCAATGTCCTAAGGCCTCTGAGAATCAATTTCTGAATGAGATGTTGATTACAATCTTTTAGCGATTTCTAATCACACAACAGACATGAGGTCTGGCTTCCCAACTCTTTGCCTGCTGATTTTCTTTGGCACAAACACAAACAGGCTTTCAGTGTGTCCTTTTATGGAGACCAGCGGGGACACACACTGCTTACTACAAGAAGCTGGATCTGTGGGCTATCGCTTCCACCTAGTGGTGGAGCCTCTGACTAACTGGACACAGAGAGGAAGTGCCACACAAAGGTCTGCATGGGAAGGAACCTACATTCGTTTTTCTCTGGCTACACATGCACTAAGAAGCCAGAAACTAGATTTTCTTTTCCAGTCAGAAAAGTAATAAATGTCATAATAATAAAGCAACCTGTACTTTAGGTTCAAGATGCTAATAAGGACATATTCGTGATAAGGTTTTAAATAACGTTTGTGCTACATTCATCTGTGAATCTTAAAAATGTTTACAGGTGACATGCACTCTGACTTAAGCAGAGATTTCCCAGGGTTTAAAAACATACATTTTCCTTGAGGGCTGAGACCGTAAAGACCAAAGGTGGCTTCCCTCTTAAGGTTTGACTAACGTTGATGAACTGGCTTGAGGAACCAGTGACTGTTTGTCTCCTCTTCTGAACACCCAGCCAGGTTTCCTACAGGAAAACCCAGGCTCTGGCCCAGAAAACAGGGCACAGCCCAGCTGCAGGGTGCACTCATGGCTGGACTTGGCCAATCGCCTCCCAGCTCCACCCCGCTTGTGTCACATGAAAAGAAGGAATGGAGTGTCACTGTCTCATGAGTCACTGTACAGGTGAAATGGGACGTTTATACAAACTGTCAGCAGCTAATCCAAAGATCAGCTATTATATAGTATTAACATGTATGCAATACGTAAACAGCTTTTTGCAAACTAGCAGGTCTGATGCAAATGTTGTTTAACTTATAAGTTCCTGCTTTAGTCTCTGTGTTTTCATATAACTATTCTTTAGCAACATTTAAAGCAGACAGCATAACAGTACATATGGATTGTTACAAATGCCCCATTGATGCATAATGGAGTCATCATGCCAATGACAAGACACACTTGCTACCGGTAAGACAGTTGGGTGGCTAAGGGAAGGAGAAGAGAACTCTCTCTCTCCCACTGAAGGTCTGTGTCAGTGTCTGTCTGGACCACAGCAATACCTAAGAATGTCTTCCACTGTAGGAGCCTCCTCGTCTACCAACCCTCTAAGCCAGAAAGCACATGGGTCACCAGGCAACAGTTACTCACTGTCTCAAGTTTAATTATCATCTGTCAGGTGTATTTTTTATTTTTCATTAGATTAACTGCCAACATTTGCACTGTAAGGATTACATCTGAATTCCAGTCTACATTTGCAGATTTTCTAGAATATCAGATTGAAAGAGGGACCCACATTTGCATATGGCAACCATCAGCTCCTGCTGGTTTTAACTGCTGCCTTTGCAGGGGGGTGCAGTGAAGAATTTCCCACAGTCCTCTTGGCCACCCACTGCCTTGCCCCTGCCTGGGCCCAAGTGTTTGGATTTATATCTTCTGTGTAGGCAGCCACCAGGGAAACTAATGGAAACACACACTGGGTGGCCCCTTCCCAGACCCATGCACAGAACCAGACCAGATTCCCCAGTGCAGCCTGTGACGCTCCCCATCCGGCCAGAGCACACCTCACCCACTGCACTGGGCCAGAGCGCACCTCACCCACTGCACTGGGCCAGAGCGCACCCCACTCACTGCACTGACAGAGCACACCTCACTCACTGCACTGACAGAGCACACCTCACCCACTGCACTGACAGAGCACACCTCA